AATAATGCTTTTATTTAGCAAGAGTGCGTTTTTAACAGTACAGAGACAGAAAAGAAACTGCATAAATTTTTTCGGAAAAAAACAAATATGTAGGCATGAAAGCATGATGTTTTATTTTAATAAATGCAACGGGGAGATTAAAAAAATGTATATTATATTATTATATTATAATTTATATTATATTAATTATATTCAATCAGATCAGCTAGAGTAGCACAAATGTCACTGAGAATTTCCTAAGAATGAGTTTATAGCTTATTCATGGTGAACCCTTCATTCCCCCCAGTGTTATTGTTACATTTTCATATGAAATAAATCACAACTCACAGTGACAAATTATTTACCAGGTAGAATAATGCTGTAGTTAAATAAAGTGATTTATTGAAATGAATTATTTTAAAGGCATTGTCTAAATGTGAGCTGTATATCATTTCCAGGTGCCACCATTGAATTTCTCTTGTTTCAGTTAATATTGTTTGGCTGTTAACGTTTCTAATCGGCAAATGTAGCAGCAGTTCTTTTTGCTGGGGTTTGGTAACTGACCGCATCTTATTAATGAGAGTCTTGTCTTTTCTCACGAGGGTTCACTGTGGCCACTAGAGGCTCAGTTTATCTAGGCCGAGAGAGAACATGACCCTTACTGTACCAGTTAGTTACAGCAGATAATGTGAATTCTGCCAAAGGTAACACAGAACATACCAGTCTGTTTTCTGATTTATTGTTGGTAAAGCCAAACACATTTACAAACATGTTATAATTGAGCAGACAACAGACAAAGCATTAGATTCGCTGCATTAGATTCAGCGTCTGCTAAATGAGCGCACCATTCATCGGCCTAATGGCTCAATCTTCAATGAAGTCGTGCTGCGGCCCAGAAACCAAACCCCTGTAAACATGTTTGTGCGCTGAATGGAAAGTGGGTTGGCAGCACAATAGCTGACCAGTACACCGCCTACATTGTGCATGGCATCATAGCGTATTAGCTTAGCAAACTCTATTTGTTTGGATGGTTGCCGTTTCTGTTTATGCAGGTTTGATTGAAAAATGCTTTGTAATGGATGCAGTGAATATTTTGATGCCGCATGCATTCCAGCATATACAGTAGGTATCATGATCTTCTGAAATAGATTTATTTTTCTAGAATCATAAAGTTTTGCATTTTGAACTTTATTTTTAAAGTCCACCTTCCCAAATTCTGCAGAAATGATTGCTTTTTACAGTGCTTTTTATATGAAGTAACTCATCATCCAGCTGTTTGTAAGTGTTATATTGCACCCGTGCTTGTGCTGGGACTGGTCATGTGTGCACACTGCTTCCTCTCTGAAGCACTCACACAGGAACTTATCAAATTCTAGTGAATTATTAACCTTAGGACAGCTAGGAAGGTTTGAAAATCACTTTGGATATGTCAGAAACCAGCTATGGCAGGTAGGTCTTCTCTAAATTATTGTTTTAACTGGTTACAAAAAAAATAGAATGGCAAAAAAAGCCATTAGTGCAGTCCAAGGCCACGAAGGTAGACATGATTACAGGTGATGTTGAGTGTGCTGTGATAGGTTATTTGATAATCCACAGAACAGCATCTACACAGCTTGAGCTAGTGTACGTTTACAATTAGAACGAACAGTTCCTTTATTGCACGTTAATTATATAATAAAAGGTAGATAATAAAGCTTGAATGTAAAGGTTTTTGGCTAATTATTCAATATTCTTACAGGAAATGCCAATGGAAGAACCGATGCGGTCCAAAGCAGGTCAGAAACATCACCTCGAGCATTTTCGGAAAATCATTTGTATTGATTTCATGTGACCTAAGAGAACTTAAAGGGAAAAGAAAGTTATTACACCATATTAGCTATAAATAGTGTTCAAATTTAATTGAAATTTAATCGTATAAATGTAAGCATTTTTTTTTATGTATATGTGTGTGTGTGTGTGTGTGTGTGTGTGTGTGTGTGTGTTTAGTCTCATGACATATATTCCCAAACTGTAAAAATACTTTGATTCTCCTATATTAGCTCAGCCTGCCTTAGTTTAATTTCATATGGAGAGGTAAACAGAAATGGCTCTTGACTAATGTGACCAGTGTTGGGGAAAGTTACTTTTAAAAGTAATGCATTACAATATTGCGTTATTCCATAAAAAAAGTAACTAATTACATTACTTAGTTACTTTTTATGGAAAATAATGCGTTATGTTACTTTTGCGTTACTTTTAAAATCTGGACAGGGCTTGCTTGTTTGTTTTTAAAATAAAAAAGTTCTATTTTTTGTGTTGTTTAACATTTAATTATTGCAGGTTTGCATCATATTCTGAGTTGCATTATTTTTATTCATTTTGAGGAATACTGAATCTGTGTTTTGTTTTGTTTTGTGAGTGAGATGAAGTAATGCATATTCATATTTATTTTAGAACTACAGTAACATCTTCTGATTTCTCTCAACATGGGCACAGGAGAGCTTGTCAATCAATAAATTGGAAAAAATACTTGCGTTACTTATTTGAAAAAGTAACTCAGATATTCTCTTGTAACTTAAAAAGTAATGCGTTACTTTACTAGTACTTGAAAAAAGTAATGATTACGTAACTCGCGTTACTTGTAATATATTACCCCCAACACTGAACGTGATGCATATAATTTGATCTGTGTGTCAACGACTGCATTGATAATGAGTGTTTTTGCAGTGTGATGTAGTGTGTGTCCAATTAAAGCTCATGATAAGTGTGTGTGTAGTTTCTCAGGATGCTAACTAACCCTGAGTCATGTGTGTGTGTGTGTGTGTGTGTGTGTGTGTGTGTGAGTGAGATGAATTAATGCATATTGTGTGTGTGTGTGTGTCTGTATGTGTGTGTGTGTCTGTATGTGTGTGTGTGCGTGTGTGTGTGTGTGTGTGTGTGTGTCTGTATGTGTGTGTGTGTCTGTATGTGTGTATGTGTGTATGTGTCTGTATGTGTCTGTATGTGTGTGTGTGTGTGTTTCACCCTGTGCCCAGAGGGCTGGATAACGCTGAGGAAATACAGAGGACAGAGTTTTATCATCTCCAAGGCAGGATATGGTGAGAGAGTGTGTGATGTTTCTTCACTGTGGTGATGTTTAATATGCATGACACACCGCTGAAGAACGTACATCTCTGCACTGCAGACTGATAGCACAAACATGCATGTCAGTGTTTGCATTGGCATCTAATCACATCTAGCTAGCATCATTTTTCATCGACCAAAAAAATCAAGAGATGCTGTCTTGTGCTAAAGTTGACCCTAATTAAAGTACGCTGCTAAATCTTATTTAATTATCAAAGAATCCTAAAATAACAATTTCCACAAAATTGGTCACAGCCTGTACTTGTAATTCTGTATTTACTACTGTAGTTGTATTCTAAGTGCTCGTTCACAACAGCTTCATAGCCAGTAGAGTTGTGATGGCTCATGTGCACTGTTGGTCTCAGTTAGTGCGGATCGATGTGTCAGCAGTCATACAGTAAGAGGTCGTGCTTGTAAATCCAGCGTTTACTGGTGGACGGACGGCGCAGTCTGTCACATTCCCGTAACAGGATTAGAGTGGACAGGACTGTGCACCTTTGCCCTGAATGAAGTCCATGTGTGAGAGGGGAGCTTAGAAAATGAGATTATGTTGTAAAACCTTCTTTCTTTCTGCCTGTGCTGCCAACTCTCATTTCACTTACACGCTCACATGACCAGTTCTGCCACGCTTCTCTAGAAACCAACTGTGTCTGTCCATTTCTCGCTTGTGTTGTTGTGTTGCAGTGGTAATGTAAACCCATCAGCCTCCGTGTGTGGTGTCTGCTTTCCTCTGCCACACCTTTCCCACACTGAGAGAGAGCGTCAGACCGTTGTCATGCGGTTGCTAAGGTGTTCTTAGTGATGGTGGTTTTTAGTGTACTAGTTATGCAGTTGCTAGGGTATCTTAATTTTTGTTCTTAATAATTGTAATAAACTTCTGGCTATTTTGCAAATATCTTTACATTAAACAAAAGGTTATTGCTGGAAGTTAAACTTGTAAAGCCTGACATATGATTTGATTTAATTTTATTTGTAATGGAACAGTTTATTGAAAATTTGCATACTTGTTTTTGTTGAGTATCATATTTTATACATCAGGTTTTTATGGCACATGCAGTTTTTTTTCACTTGTTTACACACATGAAGTATCAGTAACCTAAACTGATATTTAATATATTCAATGTTTTGATAGTGTAGCCTATTACAAGCCCCTCTCACCTGTGTTTTGAGCTGTAGTATATGTAAGGGATAATCAACGCGGTTTGCGTGCATTAAAGGATTTTAAATGCACGACGTGGAGGCCAAGAACCTCCCGAGGCGAATAAATGTAAGATCACATTTATTTGAATGAATTATAGCATTTATTTCAATTAATTATCGATCAAGAGAGAGAGAGGTTTGTGTGTTTTACCTGCGTCTGCGCATCTCTCTAAAAACAATTAATTGCTTCAAAAACAGCGATTTTACCACCTCGCTGTTGAGGAATATAATGTAGCCTAGTGATCAAGTATCTAGGCTATTTTATTCATAAAAATCGAGTGGAAGCGTTGACAACAAGTTTATGTGTGTGAGCAGCGCAATCTGCGATCTCCGACCTCTCTCTCTCTCTCTCTCTCTCTCCGTGTGTGTGTGTGTGTGTGTGTGTGCGCGTGTGTTTGTGGGCATCAATTAAAGCAACGCATTAATATGGAACTGTGATTAAACTGACTTGGAACTACCTGTGCATTAATCGGTTTTAATGCATACCTGCCAGCCAATCAGAATCCAGTATTCAGACAGACCGTGGAATAATATATATTCGCGTCGGGTGGTTCTTGGCCTCCACGTCCTGCATTTAAAATCCTTTAATGCACGGCAAACCGTTGATTATCCCTTACATATATAATATAAAATGATTAAAAATAAAAGTATATTAAAAGTTACAATTCAAAATAAACATTAATTTATAGTCCTTTTTACTTTACCGAAGTACGTTCAAAATGAAATACTTTTGTACTTTTACTTGAGTAAAACTGAAAAGGAGTACTTACTTTTACTGGAGTAAGATTTTGTTAGGTTACCTGTATTTTACTCAAGTAGCCTACTTGTTTTGTGTACTTCATCCACCACTGCACACACAGTATATGGTGTGATATAGCAAGAATATAGTGCTCATACTGAAAGAAGAAAAAAAGAATCACATCAGTTTTATTCAGAGGCAAAACTATGCAATTTGGTGCAGCTGTTATTATTCATATGGCCAAAATGTGAGAAGAAATTCTGCTAGCTTGTAAAGAAGTGAACTCTTTATGACAGCATAACAGATTACTAACACAAAATGATATAAATATCAGCCGTCACTCCATATCTCCAATATTATCTCTTAGTAAGATGATATATAAATGCTTAGTTTTATGATCTAAGCTCAGTAGTTTCAAAACATATAATGCTGTGCAATGCAATGATGATTGAGGGATGAACAATTAAACGTTCCTCAAGAGCCTGATGATCATATTTGATACTCACATTCGAACATGATTTTTTTCTAAAAATGGTGTATGGGTAATTAAATTCAACAAATCTTGAAATACTACTAATAATATAAAAGTACCTCTTATGTTTTATAAAAATCAATAAAACAAATCCACAAAAACACAAGTGAATAATACTAAAAAGGCCTTGAACTTGATTCAAAATGAGAAACTAGCAAATCACAACAGGTCTTTCGTTTTCATTCAATTTGCACATCAAATATTATACAGTACACTGTAAAAAAAAAAATCTGTGATATTTACGGTAAAATACCGGCAGCTGTGGTTGCCAGAACTTCACAGTAAAAATATGGTAGCAACATTTTAGGTTTTACAGACTTAACTTAAATTCACAAGAAAATACCGTATTTCATTAACTGATGTAATATTAATAAACCAACATATTGGAGTGTTAATATCTGTTTTGAACCATTGTAATGCACTGATAACCACCAAAAACTGGTGGTGATGAGAAAGTCACGTGATGAACCAAAGCTCATCACAAACAGCTTTTCTACGAGCTGAGGAGGGCAATACTTCTATATTGAAGGTGCACAGTGTCATTCACACAAACACTAAACCCCATCCTGGTGACACTCATGATACTGAAATAATGCAATAAACATTCATTTAACAACATTACATGTAAGATTAAACCCTAGTGTACACAACTGATAAGAAAAAAATTAAGAAAAAACATGTTATTTCAACAACAAAAACATTAAACATGAAGCCTCATGCAGGGAATTCTGGGAGTGTCAATTTACGTTTTTTCACTGTAAATTATACAATGACTTTTTCTTTTTCACTTCCAAAAACCGTATTTTTAACAGTATTTTACTGTAAAATCACATTAAACGTGATTACATGTATTCACCGAATATAGTATGGAAACTTACTGTTAACCAGTTAACAGGTTTCTACTGTAGCATTTTTACAGTCTTTTACTGTTAAAATCACAATCATTTTTTACAGTGTAGGCTTTATACTTTATAGTACATTGACTGTTTAGGCTGTGTATTGTGAATACAGAATATGATCTGTGTGTATTTGGACAGATGTTAGACTGACACGTGCACTATGAGAGGCAGCGTTCACTCAGCTATTGTACTTGGCTGTTGTTTCCACTCAGGTCCTGCTTCACTGGTCTCCTGTTCGTTCCCATGAGAATATGAGCCATAGCAACACAGTCTCTGTTTATGACTGCAGAGACTCAGTGTTGTAGCATTACTACCTCAGGCTAACACACAAAGAGCTTGCATTTTTACTAACACATCTTTCTAACACATTTATGTTTGTGTTTTCTGTGACCATGCACGAGGGATATTTCTGAACCTGTCTGAGGGAGCTTTATATTGAAAGATGTATAGGTTATCTATTCTGTCTCATAGTTTATGGCATTCAGCTCATAATAGTTATTAACAATCCTTCTATATTAAAATAATCAGGTAATATTGGACTCCAGAAGTCATCACCTGTTGCCTGTGAGCACATAATCTGTGAATGTAAGTGCTTCTGCACATCAAAATATTATGGGAGTTGTTCGAGTCACATGACCGACACAATTCATAAACAATTCCCTCCTCCTTACCTGTGTGTGTGCGCATGCTAGTGTGTGTATAACTGAATGTCTTCCATATAAAGCTCTTTTATGACTAGTTCCATCTGTCTAATGAATATTTAAAACAAGATAATATTACACATCACAACCTAATGAATAATTCAGAGAGGCTGATTAGAATGATTTAGGCTTGTAGCATTGACAAACCCTCACATACATTCAGCAACTTGTTAGGGAGGTCTATCAAACTGAGGTATGTTCTTTGTTATTTTTATTTTTTTCCAGATGTATTTGCATATTTGTTATTCCTAATTAAACCACTTACATATATTATCAAGCTATCATTCAAACTTTTTTCCTGCACTTTTGAATCTGAAGTGAACCCCTGTTTGGTTTATGATATTCATATTGCTGATCTTTTGTACTGGATTTAAGTATGGTATCTGAGGGGAGAGTTATAGTTATGGTTATGTAACAAAGTTTTGCATGATTGTGCACTTGTTAAGGCTGCAGTGGCGAATAATATTAATATAAAAAAAGATCTGCTGATGGATTTGATTTTTCTTTAGTCTTTGAAAGTTACAACTTGTGATATGAGATATAAGTGTTGAGTGCTACTCCGTAATTGAATGATCTGAAGTATATATGAGTTAAATGAGCTGTGGCTGTCTGTCCGTGTGGAGATGTGAGGAGCTGTCAGAGACGGTGAAAGTTAATCTGGAGAAGAGCAGATCAGATGAGACCGACAGGCAATTCAACTCCTACACTGACAGATGCTTCTGACGCAAAACACATTTGGCCAGCATTATTAAACCATCCATGCTGTCTTACAAACAGCAAGTGACATACACATTCTCATTGCTGAAGACTGCTGTCTTTTTGGTCAAACCTCAAACTTTATTATATAAAACTTCAAAGCAGCATTCGAGGAGTTAATGAATGTGAGACTCGTTTAGACACCAGTGTGTTGTCTGCTGCGTTGCAATATAACAGTGTTGGATAAAATTCTGAATTTATGAATGTCTTTCTTTCGATTCATGAGTGTGGATGTAAATTGAACATTTGGCAGGATGCTGAACTGGAAACTGAATTGAAGTCAATTATACTGAAATTGAATTGACGTTGGGGTAAACTGTAGCATTCTTGGAAAATAAGCAACCTTCCACTAAAATATGAAACTATGTATACTACCAGTCAAACGTTCAGAATAATTAATGTTTTTGAAGGAAGTTTCATATGAATTTATTTGATAAAAAAATACAGTAAAAACAGTAATATTATGAAGTATTATTAAAATTTAAATGAACTGTTTTCTTTTAAATTGCACCTTTAGAAATCATTCTAATATGCTAAATATGCTGAAGCAGCAAAATCTGTTTTCAACATCCATAAAGATAAAAACCACTATTAATATTTGAGCACTAATAATAATTGAGCACCAAATCAGCATATTAGAATGATTTCTGAAAGATCATGTGACACTGACGACTGGAGTAATGATGCTGAAAACTGTCATCACAGAAATAAATTACATTTTAAAATATATGCAAAATAGATTTGAAAAAAGTAATAATATTTCACAACTATTGCTTTTTATTGTATTTCTTTTTCAATAAATAAATGCAGTCTGGGTGAGCATAAGAGACTTCTTTCAAAAAAACTTAAATAATCCAATGAATTATTCCAAACTTTTGACAAGCGGTGTATAAATGAAATAGTTTATATACTGATTATGATTATCATAATTGATAATGATTATGATAATTATGATTGTCAGGTCATGCATTAATTATTTTGCAGTCTGTTTACTAAACCTCAATTCAAATTGATTTCAAAAGTAAATTAAATTGTGATTTAAAAGACATTTTCAATTCAATATTGAATAGCACACAATCATAGTATTTCAATTATTATAAGCTTGAAGTCCGTTCTGTTGTCCTTGTGTGGCAAATGCGTGTTTCTTCCTAAAAAACGACATCAGTCGAAATTTAGCTGTGCTCTCTACCTTTCCAGGAAATAGATGAGAGGTATGAAATATCCATCTCACACGGCACAGTCGAAGCATCCATCGCTCTAATCGCTCATGCTATTCATAATTCTGTGTGTGCGAGGCTCAGAGCCCCACGGGCAGAACACCATTTACCTTTTCCACTTCAACGTGACCTCAAACTAAACGCTTCCCTACCTCAGGAGTCTGTGTGAGTGGCAAAATTCATCACATGTCATATATTATTAGACTCGGTAGAGCCATTATCATTTATTTAAAAAAAATCTTGTGAAGGTGAATATGAAATGCAAGCATGTAAAAGTATTACCATCTTCTGCAGTGTGTAGGTGCAGGTGCTTCAGTTTTTACAAGTCTTTGCCTTTTAAGGAGAACAAGATGAGTGGGAGATTGGTGAAAATCATTACATGAGCAGAATACCATTACATTTTCACCATTACATGGTCATTGATGAGAAAATTATTATGAAGAGGTGTCATAATTTAATTTACTGATAACCATAATGTTGATGTTGCCAACCCCTGTTATCTATAGCATATATCGGCACATCTGTGCTATATACTATTTTCTAATTTGTCGTCATACTTTACTGCTTGCTTGTAATTTATGTTATTACATATGCTTTAAATTTGTTGCTACACTTTAAGTCAATATGTTGGCACCGAATCCATTCCACTGTTTTGAACTAAAGCTGGGAATCAAAGCACATTTTGTGCCTCGTTTATCATCACCCCACGGTGAGGACAGGCATCGGTCCCCTGGTATTGAGGTCCCTGTCTGTGGTATCTCTCTCCATACCTCTAGATTACGTTCAGGAATGTAATCAGGAGGGAAGGTTTTGGACATCTCGACTCTAAATGATAAATGAGAGAGTAGTAGTCCTGAGGTACATGACGGAGTTAATCTCTGTTAAATCCAATCATGGTGAGCTGATTGTGACTTCTTAGAGCGCAGTGATGGGAAAGTGGTATCTGAATCCATCAACTAATACTCCCATGTGCCAACGAGACACAGGCAGCTCTCTTGCTTAGAAAATAATTATAGACCCTTTTTCTTTTCTTTTACAAGTAATATTATTATTTTTTGTCTTGGCTATAGAACTATGATGACATTTTGTACATTTTGAGACTCTTAGTGGGGTCTTGAGTGTTTGCCGTTAAGTCAAAGAGAGGTCTTGTTCTCCATGTAAGTACTTTTACTGTTGTGATCGTAGTGTCTTTTGTGATATTCTTGATTTGTTTGTGGATAAATGTGTTTAGATCCTTCCTGTCAGATCACTACCACTGTGTTTGTGTAACTGAGTACACAAACTTTAAACAAAAATAATAATAGCAAGAATGGTGTACCGCAAGGCTCAATCTTAGGACCTTTTTTGTTTTATATGCTTCCCCCTACAGTATGTGATATGTTGCTTTTAGGAAATAATAAGCATTGTAAGCATTGCTTTTAGTAAGCATCAACTTACTTTCTTATGGAACATAAGACATACGGACCATAGCAAAGTCAGAAAGACTGATAAGAAATTGAAAAATCTGACACCTATTACAAAATATCAGCATTGCAGCATGACTTTGACAGCATGATTATATCTGACCCTTCACTGTACTTCCTTGAGAAAAAAATAGCTGTTTGTTATGCTACCTGATATTTCTCAACCATCAAGTCAAAGTCATTGTCATAGTTGTGTGTGTGTGTGTTTCTAAATCCCTGTGTTAAAATTGTGATTGTGGTCTGATGCAACCCATTAGCCTGTTTGACATAATGAGACACATTTTGATTAGATTTGCAAGGTGTAGGCTTCATGTAGGAACATACTATGAAATAACAGAAAGAAGTCAGAAGTCAGAAAGAGCTTTATTACCAAATATGTTTACACGCACAAGGAATTTGACTTGAGGACAGGAGCTTCCAGTGCAGAAGAAAGTACGGACATAGTGCAACACCCATGATAGTGCAGACATACATAGGAATAACACAGTAGAGATGGAATATAACACTAATATAAGAAAAACACAAAATTAAATAATGCACTATATACAGACGTAGAAGTGTAGCAAAAAATTTAATTGTTTAAATGAATGTACAGATATGTTATTTACAAGTGTGCAGTTTACAAATGTACAAATTTCGAATTCTATGTATAAATATAACTATGTCAGTTATGATGGACACGATTATGAATAACATTTTATGAAACAACACAAATGGATAACAATTATGAAGTGACCACACAAAACAAAACATTATATTTCTACAAATCTAATTTAAATCATTTAGAGGGATGAGTTGAGCCAAAAGAAAAATGAAAATTCTGTCATCATATATTTTCATACCTTCATGTTGTGTCAAAACCTCAATGATTTCCCCCCTATCAAATACAAAAGGAATGATAGGCAGGATGTTCACTGTGTCAGGGACTGTCAAGCTACAAAAATGACAAAAGAGAACCATAAAAGTTTAACATAAGTTCTGAAGCCATTCAGTAGCTTTATGTGAGGAGCAGACTAAAAATCAAGGACTAGACTGAACATCTTAGCTAAAATCTTCCCTCTGGTGTTCCTTAAGAGAAATTTTCCTACTGTGCTATTATGAATATGCATATATCAAAAATTTAGCACATTTGGTCTAGTCGCAAAACACGTTTTGTATAAAGATGTCAAATCTGGGGTGTATTCCAGAAAGTGGGTTTTGTTGGAAACACAGTTTGTTGAACCTCCTTTCTGGAATACACCCCTGATGTGGCACATTATGCTGTGTGATATTTCAATATATGTGAACGTTAATGAGACCTGCCGCAGATGAGAAATCATGCGACTAATGAATTAGCTCTTGTCTCACACATACTGTATCTATTGTATGGCTTCAGAAGATGTGAAACATTACACACAATTTGTTATTTTTGCAGCATCACAGCCACTGTCAAACTTTCATTTTCATTGTATGGAAAATAGAAGTGAACACTAACTGTGAACTCTGCTCAGTTTTTCCTTCTGTGTTCCATGAAAAATAAAATCATACAGGTTTGGAATGACATGAGGGAAATGATAAGAGAATTTACTTTTTTTTTTTTTCTGGTGAACTCTTACATTCACCATAAAGGTGAAATAACATTACTGGCATTTCAAGGGCAAACAAGCTTTGTAAAAGCACAGTGAATTTGCGTGACCAACTTACACCATGTTAAAATCTGCATGGGGAATCTTTTGCACTCACAAAAATTTCGATCACATGGGTTCCTACTGGAATAACTGGATTTCACCCAGACAAATTTGAGAACAATTGTAAATGTGGCCTCACCTTGAAAAAGTTTCCCGATCATGTAGATTCCTAATCCTATTGAAATGACTCAAATTGTGAAAAAAAAAAAAAAGGTAAATGTAAATCATTAGAAACATAATTCATCTAAAATATGTCTTTTAACTATATAAAAATATGTGACGAAATTGAGTTAAATCTATGCTTTAAATTACTTGTTATGTTCAGGAGGTCTTTCTATGGACTGTATCCCTACAAGTCAAGCATGATCGGACCGGAGTCGCTGGCAGATCCATCTTCTGATTGGGACATTGTGGAAACAATTGGGAAAGGAACCTATGGCAAGGTCTACAAGGTCATCAATAAGAAAGATGGAAGTCAAGCAGCCGTGAAAGTTTTGGATCCCATTAATGTGAGTCATTGTTGGGCCTCCTGAGATTTTCATTTGTGGCATCTCTTCTGTGTTCAGTGTATTGCAGCTGTGATGTGAACACATGGAAAATACGAATTCCATGATTTTACCCTATTTTCTTTTTCTCCCCTCTTTGAGAGTCTTAAACCTTAATCGGTATAGAGTAGACCCAATAGATTCAAAAGGGGGCAGTGTGACATTACTATTCAATAATGATTCTGAAACATGCTGAAAATGTACTGTGAATAAGTAACCATTGTCTCTGTTCTCTAGTCAAGTTCATTTAGGATCTAAGACTCTTAACAGTGTTTCCAATGATTTAAAAGCCGAAAAAAAAAAACATATTTAAAGGCGTTTCTTCCCCTCTTGTCCTCCGGCTTGTTTCAGAATCCCAGTCACACTAACAAAGTAGATATTCTTCCTAAATTTCCCCCACAGATATTTTCATATTATAGCACTATTGATTTTTGGAAAACTTGTCAGGATGTTTTATTTTTATGCCTAATGCTGATATTCCCCATGTAGTGTGATGTCATTAGTGCTGCTTGATCCCCCATAACCCCCTGCTGCACAGTGCATGCATGGCTGCCTTCATTGTACCCATCGACTACCCTGCTGCCAGTCATACAAGCACATGCATGAAAGCTTGGGAGCGTTTTTACATCCTTTTCATTGTTATAATCTATTCTGACATGTTGTCTTTGTACTGTATATGATAGCATTTTTCTTTTTTAAATCAGCTGCAATTTTCGATTATTTCTAGCTTCAGTTAATGTAGTTAGTCATAGAACCTCATAAGAACACCATGTCATTACACACAACAAATGCAAATTAGGGCGCTTTTTGTGTACTAACATATATGATTCATGCTAATGGCTGTGTCAGGATGTGGATGAGGAGATTGAAGCCGAGTACAACATCCTACGTTTGCTGTCCAATCATCCCAACGTGGTGAAGTTCTTTGGCATGTTCTACAAAGCAGATGAGCTCTCTGGAGGGCAGCTATGGCTTGTTTTGGAGGTACATTTATTTATAAATGCTTGGTTTTGCATTTTATTTGCATTATCCACATCTACATTTCAAACGTTGGTCCTGAAAAATGTCTGAAATAGAAGTAGTTTACTGAAAATCTTTCAACAGCTTTTAAATGTCATTTATGTATAGGTAAACCCAATGTAAGCAAAAGCTATTCAGAGCTATGGAGGAGGGTAAGATTTGCAATGAATAACAATTGATATTTTGAACCATTTCTCACACAGACTGGTGCTGATTAGAGCTGGTCACTGCATGTTTTCACTGTAGTCAAATACATATTTGGGCCTAAGTTTAAGATCCATGTATTTGATTACATATGTTTGATTTACATATAAAATTTCCATCCATTTGGATTACACAAATTAAATACACAATAAACAGCTTTATATATTTATCATCAATAAATCTAATTTGTTGCAATCTCATACTGACTGAATATTGCTTGTTTTGCAGCTAGCCATATTTTAACCATGTTCACAGTTTTAACTGAATAGATGTGATTGTTTTCACAATGAACAGATTAATATAGGATTAAAATATAATAATCAAAATATGATTATATATATATATATTAGAAATATTATATATAAAATATATATTATTCAATGTTCTACCAAAGAAAGGAAGACTGTATGTTTGCAACGACATGAAGCTGAATAAAAGATGACAGAATTTTCTTTAGCTGAACTATTTAATACGTATGCATAATATTATGTCTGATATTATGATATTATTACTGATGATAGTAACGCTGGATAAAAATGCTGTGTGGTGTGTTTTGTCATTTTATGACTCATAAAAAAATGCTTAGTCCTTACTAATGTAGTTTCTGTTGTTTGGTTGCCCTCTTCTCTGTAACTGCATCTATCGTTCTTTTCTCTCTCCCTTTCCTCATTACTTTCCCTCTCTGTCTGGCATTTCTCTCTGTTAGTTGTGTAATGGGGGTTCAGTAACTGACCTGATAAAGGGTTTGCTGATGAGGGGAAAACGTCTTGAGGAGCCCATCATCTCCTACATCCTGTATGGAGCACTTCTGGTGAGATACAGTACACACACACACACACACACACACACTCACTGAAGTAATCTGCTCACCCCAGCACAGGGAACGCTGTCTCAGCCCTCTGACCGTGCCAGAGTAGTTATTTTGGGCCGTGATAGTGAGGAAAGACAGAGGGTGTCCAGCTGTAGACTTCAGGGGCCGATCAGAGGCAGTCTGGCCCTCAGTCCCCACTTACTGACTCAAGTTTCTCTTGCTTTATTTTCAGGGTCTCCAGCATCTTCACAACAACAGAATAATCCACCGCGATGTGAAGGGCAACAACATCCTCCTCACCACAGACGGTGGAGTCAAACTGGTGGACTTCGGTAATGGCTACTGCTGTTTCATTCCAGAGAGAGGATTATTTAGATCTTATTTCTTTCTTTTTAAGAGTTTTATAAGCATTTTTCTTCCCATACAACAATGGTTCATAGTGACAATGTTTGTCAAGCTCCAAAATGGACAACATACTAATTTGGAGCGCGATGAGAGTAAATATGGAAAGAATTTTCATTTTTAGGTGAACTGTTCTTAATGGTACGCTCAACAGACACTGAAACTAAATTGTAATTGTTCACTGATCTGATCATTCCTGGAAAAAAATAAAAGACAAAAAACATTCATTCTAATTTGGATCAGCTTTAGTTCCAATAAGGCTTTAACTTGTTTTTGATAGGAAATTATGTATTTTTTGGACATTAGCTAGTTTTACTGTATTTAATCTATTGCTGCACGTAGCTTAAACAGTGCAGCAATGCTAAAATTAATATGAAAGTCTCCAATCCCTTGTGAAAAAGAAGTACACTTTAGCATACTTGTATGGAAATATGTATTATAAAAGAGTGTACTTAAAAATTCAATCTGAATTGAATGCACTTGTGCACACGTTGATTACAATTTCAGTTTAAATTTACATTAAATGCAATTAGTTGAACTTTAGAGTGCTTTTTCAACCTTGCCAAGACAGAACTGCTTGTGGTTCCACCAAACCTATCGTTTCATCATAGTTTCACCATCCAGTTAGGCACATCAACCATAACTCCTTCAAAAACAGCCAGAAACCTTGGAGTTATGATTAATGATCAGCTGACTTTCTCAGACCACATTGCTAAAACTGCCCGGTCCTGCAGATTTGCTTTATACAACATTAGGAAGATATTGAATAAGATCAGAAGATCAGGAAGATCAGGTCATTTCTTTCAGAACAGGCAACACAACTCCTTGTTCAAGCTCTTGTTCTGTCCAGGCTGGACTATTGCAATGCTCTCTTGGCAGGTCTTCTAGCCACTTCGATCAAACCTTTACAATTAATCCAAAACGCCACTGCAAGATTAATCTTTAATGAGCCGAAAAGAATGCACGTCACACCTCTGTTTATCAATTTGCACTGGCTACCAATAGCTGCTCGCATAAAATTCAAGGCATTAATGTTTGCCTACAAAACCACCACTGGCTCTGTCTGCACCCATTTACCTAAATTCATTACTTCAGAGTTATGTGCCTCTAGAAGCTTGTGTTCTGCAAGAGAACGTTGCTTTATTGTGCCATCCCAAAGAGACACAAAATCGCTTTCACAGACTTTTACATTAAATGTTCCCTCCTGGTGGAGTGACCTGCCCAACTCAATCCATCTTCAAGAAACAGCTAAAAACACATCTCTTACATCTTTATTTGACCCTCTAACTCTAGAACTCTCTATTCTAATTATATTCTTAAAAAAAACAAAACAAAAAAAAAACGAACACTAGCTTTTTGTGTTCTATCTATTTGTTTTCTTTTTATTTATTATACAATTAACAAAAAGGAAAAAATGCCTCTAACACTAGCTGGCTCTATTCTTTTTCTATTCTGTTTTCTTTTTATTTACTATATAATAATAAAAAAAAAAAACTTGCTACATATGTTGCGTTAGGCTAACTGAGACTTGTTATAGCACCTGCATATCATTGCTCTTTTGTTGATTTTGATTGCTTCCATTGTCCTCATTTGTAAGTTGCTTTGGATAAAAGCATCTGCTAAATGACTAAATGTAAATGTAATGTAGAGTAGGGAAAGGTGCAGTAGGAGATCTTGGAAAATGCTAACTTTAACCTGATAGCATTGAAAGCGAATGTCCCACCCTCCCTGAAAATCGCCATCATGTGTCATTCACCGGTGAGAAAACTTTATAGCACAGTTAGTAAAAGGACTACAATACCAAGAAGGAAGATCAGGTTGTTGATGTTTGTCTGCCATTCTTGCTCTGTCTGCACAGCGTACGTGAACACACTGATGATGTATCCTGTCTGCGCGAACCGGGTGCGCAGAGGTATGCTAATGCTGCGTTCAAGTCCTCCTGGGACGTTCGTACTCACGAGTTGACAAGTCGTAATTACGACATCAGGTGTGTTCAAGTCCGTTTAGTCGGCACAAGATGGCGGTGTACCTTCTTTTAATAAATTACAAGAAAATACAACAGGGTCTGTTAACTCTGCTTATAGAAAATGAAGAGAAAAGAATTCGCATCAGGTGTGTTTTGCGTTTTTTATATTTTTAATAAGTAATTTATGAATCCACTTTAATCTGTATCGCATAAAAACTTGGTATTAATTGTTATATTACAATCCTGCCACATTCAAAAAGCTTATTTTCTGTAAATAAAAAGCCTGACAATGTCACTGCTTAATACCTATAAGTATTGTGATTTATGTTTTACTTTGGCAATCTCTCTGTCTCCCTCTGTCAGACATGCAGTTCTACAGTACTTGTCACTGACAACCCACTAAACTATCAATTTAAACAAAAATTTACCATCAACTACATCCATCGATTCCTCCATGTTTCTCATTGACACGCCCCCAACTCGGAAACTCGGGGCTTAAAGAAAATTTCGAGTTTCCCACTCGTAATAACGACTTTGTGGTGGCGTTCATGTGCGTTCAACTAGTAAATACGATCTATCCGACATGACTTGAA